AGGGAAAGAAGACAAACAGCACATGGACATAAAAGAAACCAACTTACCTACAAACAGTTTCATTGCTCTGCCTCTTCTTGTTTTTCAAATCCATCCTTGTGACGGAAGAGCTGAAATCAAGGTCTTCCAAGTCATCCCAGTCTTCAGAACTCTTCACTGTTCTAGCAAGATGTCCCCATCTTCGCCTAGTTTTTGGTTTAAGTTCACCATTTATATTCTCAGTCCCAGCACATGTTTTCTGTTATTAAGATTGAAAAGAAACAAACCCACACACTTAAATCATAAACCAGGTGACAGGAACAAAGAGGACTTCTTTTTTTTTCCTGTCTCAAAGAGTAATGGTGGTAGTAGAGCTGTAACAACAGAATCCTAATCTTTCATTAAACATGCTAAAAACTCAATCTGTAGTCTGTAGATGTTATTACTTATCTTCTGCATTTCATCCTGTAATAAAGTATCTTGCACTGACAGAAGAATGAATTTCTTAGGTCTTGATTCCAATTCTATTTTACTATTTACCTCCCAAACAATTAGCTCACGCTCAATTTTTATTTCCTGACCCATCTTGGGAGTACAAAACTGCATGCACATTCGTGTTTCCATAAGCCTGTGCCTAGACATTTATAAAATGTATTTTTCTTGCAGGACAGCATATGTACAAATTTGGGTCTCTTCCAGCCATTTAAGCTCATCAGCACATTTCAACCTTGTGCAACTCTGTACACGGCCAGTACAGACCCTACTTAAGACCAATCTCTTAGCATCAGCATTCACATTGTCTGCTCTTCTAATCTCTCTTATGAATCCAGACTCCCTGTATAATCAACAGAAACGGTAGGTTCTGTATGCTGAAAGAAGAATCTGTTGTTTTCCATGGCCAAGCCCAAAGGGACTATTATTCTCAGTCACATAAACTGGATGCCTGAAATGGATGAAGGCAAAAGCCCCACTCATTTCAACACTATTTGGCTTAATACTTTTCTCTCTGGCATCAGTCCCATTAATAGGCTGGCCACTGTACATCCTTTTTACTCGTATGAAATCACAGTGTCATTCTTTAAGGGAATGGAAGGGAAGCATAAAATGGCTTTGAAATGAGAAATCGACTTGCTTGTTTTATAGCAATTGGATTTAGATTTCAACAAGAGTAACCTCTAGTTTCCATCAGTAAGTTATAACTATTTCCTGTCCTTTTAGTAAAGTATAAGAACCTTGAAAGAGAACAAGAAAAAGAAACACAATTAAGAAAAAATCAGGCAGTATATCAGGAAGTGTATCTTATGCTAGATGGACCTTTACCTGCTGAGGAACTTTATTGTGAATTGCAGGCAGAACAACTTGGTTAGACTTGTCCTCCTGTAAGTAGTTACTGTGCTCAGCCCCAGAGTTGTCTGTCTTGTATGGGTACACCAAATGCTGAGAAGACTGGCTTTGTTGAAAAGGCCTTGACGAAATGCGGGCATGAGGTTTCGGAGGGGGTTGAGCTGGAGGGACAGGCTTAATATGCAGAGATGATTTATTATGCAGTTCTTTTTGTTTCCCCAGTTCCTGAACACCCAGGGCATGGCCAACCTGGAAGTACGGATATCGAAGTGCCTAAAACATAATGAAGATGTTAGGATCCAACTTGGGAAACCAAAGATTCTAACCTACCCTAGCCCTATGGGACAGTACAAATTTAATTTCCTTTGTTCTGGGGTGGGAAACAGCAGAAGACCCATCTCTCGACACTACATTCTAGCGAGCATGATCCACTTCAGAATAATGCTGCAATAGTAGAAACGTTTCAACAGATACCAAGTTATCAAATCCTCTGTGGACTTGCACAAAAGGAAAAGGTTCTGCAGAAGTAAGATACTTAACCAGGTATATGGCATCTAGAAGCATGTTTCATTATGTGCTGTCTCTTCGTGTGTGTGTGTGTGCATGCACATGTGCAAACACATGCACTCCTGTCATCACAGATGCAGCCATCAAGCCTTGAATGACCCCAGAGACATCCCATCTCTTCCATTCTCCAGTTCCAAGACTGAATCAAGTTAAAGAAATACAACCCTTATGAGTATTATCCTCTCTCTTTTTTGGAAGACATGTTGTTAAAAATACCTTTATCCTGCTTTACAAGTAATTAAGGAGTTGTCACAAAGGCAATTAATCTCTGCCCATCTTGCTGTTTCAGGTATACTCGTCTTCCCTTCCTAAAGACCTCTCACTGCAAAAAGCTTCTAAAAGCTCAGATTCCTCACCGTATTTGTACCTTACTGCAAAACATTTGTTAATGGCTCTTAGTATCAAGTTATTGTCAGGTTTTTTTGCTTTTCGTTACCTTTGAGAGTTCTTTGTCTATTTTTACTTTTTAATTGCTTTAATCAGCTTTAAAGCTTTTTATTTGTACTGAAGTGAGATTTGAACCCAGAATCCCATCTGTTTTCCAGAAGGTGATGTGCTACCACTACAGTACTGATATCTGAAATCAGTGGCTACCGTCAACGTCAACTGGACCATTATATTTGCAATACTGATGACTCAGGCTATGCTTATGTACCGAGTGTTGGGACGTATCTACAGTAGCAGTTGAGCTGAGATTGCCCTACAAACTGCCTTGCAGAAGCTAGCTTCATACAGGCAACACTGGGCTGGATGAGCAGACAGTGAGGTGGATTGAAAGCCGGCTGAATGGCCAGGCCCAGAGAGTAGTGATCAGTGGAACAAAGTCTGGCTGGAAGCCAGTAGGTATCAGTGTACCCCACAGGTCAATACTGGTGCAAATACTGTTCAACATCTCCATTAATGATGTTGATGGTGGTGCAGAGTGCACTCTCAGCAAGTCTTCTGACGACACAAAACTGGAAGGAATGGCTGATACACCAGAGGGTCGTGCTGCCATCCTGAGGGACCTCAACAGGCTGGAGAAATGGACACACAAGAACCTTAACAAGTTCCACAAGGGGAAATGCCAAGTTCTGCACCTGCGGAGGAACAACCCCATGCACCAGTACATGCTGGGGTCAACCACGTTCACCTGGAAAGCAGCTTTGCAGAAAAGGACCTGGCAGACACCAAGTTGAATGTGAACCACCAACACACCCTTGCTGCAAATAAGGCTAATGGTATCCTGGGCTGCATGAGCAGGAGTGTTGCCAGCAGGTTGAGAGCGGTGATCCTTTCCCTCTGCTCAGCACTGGTGAGGCCACACCTAGCGTTCTGTGTCCAGTTCTGGGCTCACCAGCAGAAGAGAGATATGGACATAATGGAGGGAGTCCAGCAAAGAGTCACAAAGATGATTAAGGGACTGGAGCGTCGCACATATGAGGAAAGACTAGGAGAGCTGGGACTGTTCAGCCTGGAGAAGAGAAGGTTCAGGGCAATCTTATCAAAGTATGCAAATACCCACATGGAAGGTGCAAAGAAGATGGAGGGAGGCTCTTTTCAGTGGTGCCCAGTGACAAAACCAGAGGCAATGGGCACAAACTGAAACACAGGAGGTGCCCTCTTAACATCAGAAAACTTTTTTACTGTGAGGGTGACTGAGCACTGGCACATGTTGTCTAGGGCAGAGGGGTGGGACCAGATGATCTCCAGAGGCCCCTTCCAACCTCAACCATTCTATGATTCTGTGGCGCATACCAATAGCAATGAAGGAACAGCAGCATAGCCTTCAGCCATACATCCTACCTTCACTCTGCTGCTTTTCACAGTGACTGGATTATACTTTATTCAGGTGTACTTATACACACTGCAGTCACACATTCGATCATTGACCACACACCCCATGCAGTTGATGTTGCATGCGTAAGATTGATTACTCTATTTTAATTACTCCCCTTTGTCTTGCAAATTGTTCTTGGCTTCTGCTCTTCTCCCTTCTAAGAAGTGCACTCCTGTGCAACTGTTAAATGACTGTAAAAGGTGTCTTGCAGTGAAAGGAAGCATCATATGCAGATGTGAGAAAAAGAAAATAAAACCAAACCTGACTAGCTGTTGGCCGCTTTTTGGGGTCCCACTGCAGCATGTCTCTCATGAGCTGCACTGCTTCACTGCTAGCATTAGGTATGAGGGTTTTTAGATTGTTAGGTACACACTGAGGCCATCGAAAATTCATGGAGGCTGAAAGTTGGTAGCCTTCAGGCCAGTCGTTCTGGAAGAATGAGATTTCCAATCACAAAGAAAGTTCAGCTGGCAAATATCATCGTGCCTAAGTACACTAGCATATATTCTCCTATCAGTAATAGACTGTGTCCATCTTAGTCTAGACTATATTAAAGATTTCACCAAGAAATTTTCACCTCAAACCTCTGATGAGAGGTAAGTGGTGCTTCGGGACATTGTTTAGTGGGCATGGTGGTGTTCGGCTGATGGTTGGAGTTCATGATCTAACTTAAGAGGTCTTTTCCAACCTTAATGATTCTATGATTCTAAGTCAAAGGCACAAATGGACTCAGGAGATAGAAGTCTTGCCATGATACCAATTTCTAGTCTCTTAAACAACAGGTTTATATACAATATGCGAGCCAAAATTCAATTTCCACCTAATGAAATCAGTCTAATGACTTTGTTCCTGTTCGGGGATCTATTTTTCCTCCTCTAAATGTCAGCTTTCAGAGCATAATTACATAATGCTTATTTCACAGAAAATGAGTTCTAAATTAGTTTACTATATCTGAGGTCAATACCATACAATAGCAGTTAGCATAAAAATAGTAAGTTTTCATGCCATTCTGTATGTGCCATTTTCATGCCAATATGTGCCATTCTGTATTGCAGAACACCTCTAGTATTACTGCTGTGTGGAATGTCACTTTAGCTACCTTCTTTGGCGTCCCCAAGACTTGGCAGATTTTGAATATAGTATCAATTTCACTGGCGCCTGGGAAAAGAGGCCTCAGTGTGTAAACTTCTGCCATTATACAACCAACAGCCCAAATATCTATTGGAGAACTATAGCTGGTGGATCTCAGAAGGACTTCAGGAGCCCTGTACCTGTAAGAGAGGGAAAAAAAAGAAACAAATCCCAGCAATCAACACAGTTCAAACAGGCATACATGAAAACATTTAGCTTTTCATTCTTTGCTGTTAAAAGCAAACATCCCTTAAAAACCTCCTATCCTCTCCCATCCTATACGTAAGACTTCATTTTTTTTCCCAAGAATTAAGAATTAAAACCTACATAAGGTCTTGTAAGCTCTCTTATGCCTTCCTGACATGCAGCAATCCCAGCATGTCCCACCTGCCTTATCAGCCTCCCTATTTGTTCCTGTGTTGTTGCCATCTGTAAACTGTCTTGCACTAACTGAAACTTTTTGAACTACGCCAACTTTAAATAAAAGTTTCATAAAGAGGCGGCATCAAAACTGTTATTACATTCAGCATAAATTTAATACTTTACTTCTTTAAAGGTTTGATTATAAGTTTTACACAATGCACGCAAATACTAGCACTTACCATCTTGTAGATACATAATCGGTGTAAGGAGGTCTAGATCGGATTTCTCGGGCTAAGCCAAAGTCTGCTATTTTCACAAGTTCTGGTCCCATGCAAAGGAGGTTTTCAGGTTTCAAATCTCTGTGAAAGAATCCTAAAATTCAAATGAAATATTGATGTGTATTGCAATGCCATCCCTAGCTGTAGCCTTTATTTTCCACCTGGATTGTTTTGCTTTAGTTCTTATTGCTGAAGCTTGACTAGCACAATACAAAGTCGTACGTGATCAACAGAACTAGTGAGTATACAGCTTGTTCAGTCAGACCGTGAAGAACAGTATACACAAGTTGACTATCTTATAATAATTCAGACCATTCAGTCAGGTAGCTAAGTGATACTTCTTTAACAAAAAAAAATTACACCATTTTAATGTTAGTTTCATTCTAATTGTGTTGGAAACAGTGCAATGGAGACAGCAAAAAAAATACTTGAAAAGTTCTTTTAAACAGAATGCAAACTGAAACATAAGGTATAATTATTTTGCACTTTGAAACTTCTTTTTAAACCTGAGAACGCAATAATCTGCAAGCACTCAGTTACTCACCGCCCTATCAGACAGAGGATCTCAGCATATTTTTTTAGTGTTCTCCGCATTCACCAAAACTTGATCACAAATGAGCATTTGGCAAGAGCTCTTTCAATACAAATAAGAAAAGAGAGCTAGAATATTACTGACTACTGCCTCTGGAATTTGTTTCCACCCTTAGTCTGGAAAACTTGTCCTTACGCTTCTTCCTTGCAGGCATCTGAGACCACTATTTTCCATATACAGCTCCCTCTGTAGTAACTTACTAGAGCTCTAGGACCTCCTTTTCAGAGGCCTTCCAACATGCTTAGTTTTTTCCATGGCCTTGAATATGCTCCCACAGAGAACAGAATAAACATTCACATAGGATGTGTCTACATTGTCACTATTAACTTCTGTTAGATTAATGCATGACAGCATTGAAGACACAGTGCTGTAGATTTCTACCCACTAGCAGATTATGTCCTTCCTAGGGATATTAAGTAGACGTTCTGGTGCCAGCTTGAACTACTGCCTCTTTAGGGAAGACAGCAAACAGAGCAATCAAGGCTGTGTTTAGCATTTAGTACAATCACTTCTGTATTTTGCTGCACAGACAGGCAACGCACCAACAGAACACTTTTGAGGTACATTTTACTTCATGGCAAACTTGTAAAAAGAGTAATCAATTATGTATTCAAATATGAAAAGATGCTTAGAGTTTCGATGGACAAAGAACATAAAAAGCTGACTTGACAAGCATTTCTATGCCATACAGGAGAAGAACAGAGAAATAAGGGGCGGGGGGGTGTGTGTGTGTGTGTGCGCGCGCGCGGAATTCATGTGATTTTTTCCAAAACTGTTGCAGAGGGAATCTTGGGACACCCAGTCTTACACTGTGAGTCACAAGACCATCAAGACCATCCTGTCAGGCTTGCCATGAATTTCCAGATCTTTGGAACTTCGGATTTGCAACATCTTGGCAGAAATACCAGCCTAGTGTGTAGCAGGTCAGTGAACAAGACAGTTTCCACACAAAATTTTTTGTTCTTTATAGCTATAGTAAGTTAAATAGGAGTAAAAGGTATTCTGAAAGGTTGTGATCCATCTGATAATTTATTAAAAAAAGGTAGCTTAGATTTTTGCAAATAAATCCTACTATTTTTCTGGTTTTAAGTATTTTGTATCTCACTGCAACAGACTGGAATTTCTAGTTTGGTTTCAGAAGAGTATCCACGCCCCATTAGAATAGAGAATAAAGCCATCAGCTTGAAAATGTTTTGCAAAACCAAGTTAAAAGTGTTCAAGTGAACTGAAATGCTGGTCCTACAAGCCTCTCAATTCCAGGACTTTGGCCACTGATGTTAGTTCTCCTCTGATAAACCTAAGAGCTGCCCAGCAACATACACTACAACACATTTAGCAGGCAGCAAAACATGGTGAGGAAGTGATCATTAGAATAAGTAATTTTTTTCTCAGTTACATGGGTCTTGTTACTACTGGCTGGTACACCAGCTTCAGCTTTTATCATTACTGTAAAAATTAGTTGGACGGCCATGCAATGAAAGCCGTTTGTCACTCATATTTTATTACTTTAAGTGTATCTTCCAGAGAATATGCATTTTATTCCGGTATCTGTGTTCACCTTGAGAAAATAGTAATTTTTCCTTTACTCTCAATCTCAGGGGATCTCTGAATCTATCAAGAAATGTGCCCATTAACATCAAAAGAATTTCAGAAAGTGACCAGCTGCCAGCTTGAGAAAGTAGAAATCTACAGAAAAGGAAGTGAGCAAACCTCCAGACTAAAATACTAGCCAACCATAAAATACGGGTATTTTCAGTAATCTGAATCTCTCATATAATGCCATTCTTTTGATCATTCCCTTTTATTAAAGTTAGTAATGCAATAGTTAGTGTACTCATTTAAAAATTTACAGAGATACCATCTTGCTCTAATTCAAAATGTTTACAGCTAAAACATAACCTACCATGCTTATGGATAAATGCAAGTCCTTGCAGGATTTGATACATAATATTCCGAACTGTAGACTCTGGAAACAGTTTGTTTCTTGGGATAAAAGAAGGGAAAAAATAAATATTAATGCTTCACCCATTAGATTATGCTATCTAAGAAACCAAAGATAAAAGGTAACAATGACAATAAAACTGCTAGATATATTTTAAGCTCTCTCATGTAGTTTATTTCTCCAATAAAATTTACACAGCATTTGCAGGACTGCCATATTACATTATATTAAGACAATGTGACATCATGCTAAGACTATGTGGGACAGTGACTTAAAAAGGGGAAAAAAAGAAAAGAAAAAAAAGAAAATTGGACAAACTGAACAAACCTTAACACATACAAATCATAAGACATGTTCCTCAAGACAGCAAGGGTTCATGTTAATTCAGTGCTTTTCATGCCATTTCTTCTGGCCTCTCTTCGAGAGCATATACAAGCCATACTTTTGAGTCTGCCTTGTTACTATCTAACAGCTGACATGCTACTTCTTTCTCTTCTGTTATCCAAAAAAACCAGTCTCATCTGCTACCACTGAAAACAAGAGGTTCTTCTCCTCATGAAGTTCAGGTGAGAAGATCAGCCACGGCAGGCCGGTCAATGATAGCCCCTCTTACCAAGAGAGGATTTTGATCAAACAGCTTTGTACCAGCTGCCTCTGCACATGCCAAAACACAGTAGAGATGGGCTGGGGTGGAAATCAGTGACAATTTTATTCAGAAAGAGCATAACAGTGAATGAAGATGATGGTCTGGGCCTTATTCAATTTCCTGAGCTTGATACCTCTCAAAAATCTTGACCATCACATATTTCAGAAGTGAGATCAGCTACTAGAGGCAGCTTTTCATATTTGCTTGCTTATTTTTTTAATTACAGCAGGGAGTCATATTTCCTCTACAGTCCCTTCCAGCAAGGCTGGCAATTTTAACTACGACTTAAGAAAATAAATCACATTCTTAAAGGTTTGATTTATACAATGTCTGACCAGTCCAAGGCCTAGCTAAACTATAGAGAATATGATGTGTAGCATACTTTTACAGATATCTGCCCTTTTTATTTTCCTAAGGAGATAGGATATATCAAACATTCCTAAAGATAATTGGTTTCTATGTCATGCACTATAACCACTTTCTCAAAGTCCATCGTTTCATATAATTAAAAATCAGCATCCATATATGTGTCCAGTTTGAAGTTGTTCCATACCTGTGCATACATAGTAAGTATTTTTATGCTTAAAAAGGTTTTTTGTGTAGTATCAACAGACCTATGTTATAACAATAACCTTACTTTGTTAAATCAAGTAAGATTACTGTCATCTCCCAGGCTGATTCTATGGTCCCTAGAGAGAAAATGGCCACCTCAGAGAACAATTCAAAGCAGGGAGCTCTTTTGCCCCAAATTATCCTCTGGAAGATGATACCATGGTCCAAAGACTAAAAATCAAGACTTTATTAATGCTCCAGCAAATACTAAAAAGCTAGATTTTATTGAGAATGTTGACAAAAAGAGGCAGTCTTTGGACATGTCAGTTCAAATTGCAAGGAAAAAAACCTCCTAGAAGCAATCCAGAATTTGACTCCTCCTGACTACCGTTTCAACCACTTTTTATTTATTCATTTATTTGAGGAAGCTGTAACAGAAGAGGCGGTAATACCACCCTCTAATAGAAAAAGCATTGCTAGTTGGAGCACTTACGTAGAAATTAGAAGTTCTAGGTTCAACACCTCCTCAGCGTGAGGGCTGTTAAAAGTCCACAGCTCCTAACTCTCAAAAGAGTGCCCTACTTATCTGCCAGGCTAATCTGGGAAGAACCACTGGAAGCTCTCACTAAACTGTTTGGGATATGCTCAAAGGTGACAGCCACAGCTCCTAATGCAGCACACAGCTTTAAGCCATAGTGATCTAAGCCTAAACAAATGATCCAAAGTCCTTTGAAAAGTAACAGGTGTGTTAAAAGCACATTACTCAAGTAATTAATTTATATCAGGAATGAGTGATGCTGTTACATACCTTTCTTTCATTAACTGGTAAAGATTTTCTTTCATGTATTCAAACACAAAATACAGATGATCATTTTCCCTGATAACTTCTTTCAACTTTACTACATTGGCATGGTTTAATTTCTTCAAAGACTAGAAACAGAAAATACAAACAGGATTTTAAAAGGTACTTACTCTAATGAAAATGAAAAAAAACTTTCACTGATGCAGAAGACTTGGCTTCAAAAATTCTTCAATATTTTAAATAATCAGACAGATCTGAGAACAAAGACCAGATCTCCAAGTACTACCAGATACACATGCAGTATATGTATCAATTTAATACGCTAGTCATTCAAAAGCCAGCTATCTGGCATCACAATAGTCACCAAAACAACTGCATTTTCTCCGTAAGCAACTTCCTACTCGCACAATTCACACTCTTCTTGTACTTGCCCTGGCAATAGTCAGGTTAGACTCAGGACTAAATGTAAGCCTGGAAATTCTTCCTTGGTATTGTGGAATAACCCTGGTGGGCAGCTGAGCTTGCACTCCCTGCCAGTGGGATAGGAGAGAGAATGAGAAGGGCAGAAAGTGAGAAAACTAATGGTTTGAGATAAAGACAGTTTAGTAAGAAAAGCAAAAGCTGCACACGCAAGCAAAGCGAAACAAGGAATTCATTCACTGCTTGCCATGGGCAGGCAGGTGTTCAGCCATCTCTAGGAAAGCAGGGCTCCATCACACGTAGCCTCAGCCTACTTGCTGATGAGGAAGCTTAAGAAACAGAGAAGGCTTGAGGTTGTGCAAGCACTGCTCAGCAGTAACTAAAACATCCCTCGGTTATCAACACTGTTTTGGTCACAAATACAAACCATAGACCCATACAAGCTGCTACAAAGAAAACTAACTATCGCAGCCAAAACCAGCATACTAGAGTCTTCATTCTACCTTCTTTTTAGATTTTCAGTGTATTCTAAGTTCATTCTTTCTGTAGCAACACAGTATCAATAAGCAGTACTGTAAGAAAAGTGACCTAAGTGTTCTGCATATTTGCAACACTGACAGTAAGGACTAGAAATCAAGGGATGTCCTTTAGAACATATCCCTAAAGCTTTGCTGGTGTCAGAATTTCATGCTAAATGTCTGTCCCCAAACCAACTATCCAGAAACAACTGCATGTACAAAGGTTACTGCTGAGCAAAGGGCATGTGTTCTCAAGCTCTGAAAAGCAAACACCCATCAACTCCAGGTTTTGTGATAGGAAAGATCTCTCACTCACTCACCACTCACTGCAAGAAGGAAGCAGCTCTCTAGAACAAAATGATTTTTTGTAAGACTACAGAATTTTAGTAAGACTTTTGATAAGATTACAGACACCCCATTCAAATGCAGAGCCAGGAAACAGAATTGTAGTGCCATATGCCACAACTCATGTTGGTGGCAGTTTTGATGAAAAGGTGGAAAGAATTTGAGGCTACCCCAAAATGTGACAGAGATTGTCTAAATTAAAGTCAACCACTGAATGAAAAAAGTACCTTAACCTCTCGAAGGTTCATGCATTCCTCCCAGGAATAAAACTTTCTCTTCATTCTACAATAGTAGAGGGGAAAAACAAATTAATACATGGTCAACATCAGCTGTTCTTAAACTCACAGTCTCATTACATCTTAACAATCCAGTTCTTCCATCAAAATATAACACGTTATCTCCTTTGTCAAAAAACTTTACATCTCTAGACAAGGTACACTCTAATAGAATTTAAAAGCATTACTATTACACAGGACTGCCTTTTTTCATGTATATGTATCTTGCTGCAAAAAATTCAGAGCCTTCAACAAGTCAGGGCATGCTATTTTTCTTTCCAGTATACAATATGGTAGAATAGAGTCTAACTGTAAAAAGGACAAGGGTCACGACAGTTATGAGAACTCAGACTTAAGTTTTGAAACAAATCTAATGAAGACCAAATTAAATCACTTCACTGGGTCTCCAATTTTATCATATTCTTCTTGATCCTCTTCTCTATATTTTTTCTCTGTAATTTCAATACCTTTCCCCTCTAGGTTGCATTTCTTCATTTTTCAGTGTCCACTGTTC